TATATATATATATATATATATATATATATATATATATATATATATATTTATTTATTTATTTAAGGGGTTACGTGTAGATAGACCCCCTATACTAATGCCCAATTGTGGATAGCCATTATAGTCCTATTGTCGCAGATGGACCCCTTGACTGAAAACTTTTTGACTATTCTACCCTCAGGAGTTCTATTTGTCTCTATTTGAACAGTAAGGTGTTGATCCGCAATAAGCCAATAGTATAGGGGGCCTATCGTCACAGATGGACCCCTTCACTAAAAACTTTTTGACTATTCTACCCTTAAGAGTTCTATTTGTCAAAAAACAATTCTCTTTCTTTAAGAGCAAAATAGTCGCACATAAGAAGATCACTCAGAGGGTCTATTTGAACAGTAAGGTGTTGATCCGCAATAAGCCAATAGTATAGGGGGTCTATTAGCAATTAACACTATCTAATGCTAGCTTCGTCACCACAAACAATGTTTTTAATGAGGACAATAATGACAAATTTCCATATTTATTTATTTAACTTTTTTATTTTAGTTTTGAATAAGGACGATTTGGGAAATTTAACCAAATCTTAGTTTAGTTTTAATTGCGAGAGATTTGAGGGATTTTTCTATTTTGATAAGGTTTTATTAAGAGATTTGGTTTTTTTTTGGTTTGTTTCCATTTTTATTGCACGTTATGTGCACGTAGTTTTTCTTTATAAATAAGGTTGTATGAGGCCATAGAAAAAAAAAAGATTGAATCAAAAAATTTTGGTTAGCTAATTGTTAGTGTGAAGCCTCACGGGTGTGAAACCCTAGGGCCGACCCCCCTGCTCCTTCTCCTCTTTCCTCAAACAACCGACCCCTGCTCTCTTCCTCCTCCTCCACCCTTCCTCCTCCACTGCCTCCGACTCCCGCCCGCCTGCCTTGTCCCGACGCCCGCTCGACTGCCTCATCCCGACTCCCACTCGATTGCCTCATCCTGACGCCGCCCACCTGTCTCGTCCCGACATCTGCTCGCCTGCCTCTTCCTGACACCCTCCCGCGTTCCCCAGTCCCTCTCGTTGGTTCCCAGATCAATGTCGTCGCCTACGTCATTGCCCACTTCGACGCCACCGCTCTCGTCGTCCTCCTGCACGATGCCGTCACCTGCATCATCGCCCAGTCGATGCCACCGCCCTCAATTTCTTCTTACCGCCACCTCATTCCTTCACATTAACGAGCACCTGAGCCGGATAGTGAGTCGTCGAACCCACCGAAGCATATTTGCAGAGTAACAGCCCATGGGTTAGTTGTTGTGGTTTATTTTCCAAATTATTTTTTTGTTAATCTCATTTTATTAGCTAATTGTATGAGTATTCCATCTCTAAACTCTTATCATATATTCACTGTTTAGATATATTTGTGAGTTGAGAGTACCTGAGCATGTAACAGTTAAAATTTGATATTGATTGTAGAAGTTGTGCATGATAATAAATATTGCAATTAAATTGAGTGAGATTGGAATTATTCATGATTATTGATGTAAATTTTGTTAAATCCATCTACCATATTAGTTGTTTTGAATTTAATTCCTGCCAAAGATCATAAAATTTGGTGACACGATATGTTATTTGATTTAAATCGTTGATTCTGATAGACCTCATGTCCCGTTTCACATCATTTTTTGGTATCAGAGCATGGTTCTAGGTTACCAAAATATTTAGATTAGTTTAATTGAGTCTTTTATTTGTTATATAAAAAACTATCATTTATCTCATTTAGTTGTTAGTGCATGCCCACTCGTATAGGTCTACCCTATCGATTAGGAGAGTCTAGTGAATAGTCTAGTGAGTCCAGCATGTCAGACAGTACAGATCCCAAACTCCTTAAGAAATTTGATAAGCTAGCAGGATAACTAGATGTCGTAGTCCAGGAGTGCAGAGCTACCCGTGAGGCGCTGATAGACTTCTAAAATATGACCAACGAGAGGCTCGCTAGGCTTGAAAAAGCGCGTGTTGAAACTCCGCAGCCACAAGGTCAAGGGAATGATCATGGGTACATCGTTCATCAACCCCCACCTCAATTTGTGCCTGATCCTGATGCGTAATACCTGAGGAGCATTAAGGTTGAAGCACCAACCTTTGATGGTAAGCTCGACCCACAAGCTTTCCTGGATTGGCTAAAGAACATGGATCGCTACTTTGACTAGTACGTCCTGACAGAAACACGAAAAGTCAAGTTTGCAGCAATGAAGCTTACCGGACCAGCCTGCCAATATTGGTCCAACTTTAAAATGTTAAAGGCATATTAGAGGTGAGCTCCCAATTTTAATTTGGCGAGAAATAGCCAACGACCTAAAAAGGAAATACCTCCTGCCATTGTTCTATCAAAGATTGCTAGACAAGTGGCATCGGCTTACTCAGGGAACCAAATCTGCAAAAGAATACGTTGCTCAATTTGACGAATTGTTTACTCAACACTAGTGAGCAAGAGGCGACAATAAAAGTCTTATCAAAATTTAGAGCTGGATTGAGAAGTGACATCCAAACAGAACTCTTTGCTAGAGAAGTAGACACCCTTGAGAGAGCCTACGCCATAGTTTAAGATTCGGATGAGGCTAAATCTCACCAATCTCATAGGAGTTAAGATTTTCGAACTCATTCCTCTCAGTACTCTCGTGCTATTACCTCTAGTCAACCTCAGAGTCGACCTAGCCCTAGTTCTTCTCAGCCTAGAGTCGACACCAAGTGCAAGGAGTCAGAGAGATTTCTCCAAACTTAGCCTAATAGTTCAGTGTTACAAGTGTCAAGTATATGAACACATTGCTACCATCTGTACAACCCCGTTCAGAGTTAAAATTAATAAGCCGCCTATAACGGAATCAAAATCTATTCTTGAGAAAACCGTTAACCAGGTCGTAGATTTGACAAAATCTAACTTTGCTAAGAGAATCCGGGATAGTAAAATTGAAGAGCCATGCACTTTCGTTTCTTCTGAAACTACCCCTACAATTGTGGAGTTGACTGAAGTTTCATACAATGACAACAATCCGATTATTCCCCAAGCTACCGCTTTGATCACAGAGTTCACTAATGTTGTCTCTAAAATTGTTCCTGAAATTGAAACTCCAACTCTTTCTGAATTCACTCCTGTGATTGAAAACATTGTTGATGTTCCCTACAAAGTCTTCCCGGACAAACATGAATCTATACATGACACCCAACATGTTCCTAACTTGGTTCCTAAAGTGAATCACTCAGATATCTGTATGGAAGTTAAATCCAAACTGAACATAGTGAAATAACTACCATATTAGATATCAAACCACCATGGCATTGTCTCGACAGTCACTCACACACTGATCCATTTTGGGAATATATAGTGATTAGGAATACAAGTTTGAGCACGAGCGTTTTCATTAATATTCGACCTAAGCTTGACATTTTAGATGAACTGCATACCTTGCAGAGTATTTCATTTCTCTCTTATGTTAAGCGCACAAAAACACTCCTCTTTCATGCATTTGTTTGCATGTTCATCACTATCACTGGTAGAACAGGAAATTTGTTATGCATATTAACGAAGGAACACCAAATTATTCCATTTGATAGAGGACGTCATGCATGTTAGACACTTTGTTGAGTTTACATCTGTCATTGATCGCATTGTTCAAGTCTGTATTTCATACATAGTCATTTGAGTTAATTTGCATCATTTTGTTTTGATTTGCATTGATCATATATTGGGGAATCAGTGATCTAATTTGAACAAATACATTGATAACTGAAATGTATGATATGGAGTCAAGACATAGTTTAAAACTGTTAATGTTGATATTTGAGATGGTTTGGACTTATCCAATACAGTTTTTTTATAGTTGTTTGAGATTTAACATGATATTTATGAACTTTTTAACTCTTGAAATAATTAATGGCAACATTTATATTATCGATTTGGTCATAATTCCATTCTCAATATTGATTGATTAAGCAGTTCATAATGTTTATTGACAGTCCACTGATATAAACCTGACCCTAGCCTATTATTTCTGAGAGTTCTTTCACTTTACCTCACTTCTATATATTCACCCATGCAGCAATAAATTTTGATAATATTCTAGATGGTGAATTTACGATGCAATCTAGCCAATGATTTGAGATGCAGGAAAGTAACTGACGGTGATTAAGATGCACGCAGAGTATATTGAAGATGATAAATTTCTGTAACTAACTCGATGGAGTCAAGTTTCCTCCTACCCGGAGAGAATGATGAGGACAATAATGACAAATTTCCATATTTTTTTATTTGATTTTTTTATTTTTATTTTGAATAAGGAAGATTTGGTAAGTTTGACAGATATTAATTTAGTTTAAATTGCAAAAAAATTGAGGGATTTTTCTATTTTGGTAAGGTTTTATTAAGAGATTTGACTATATATCTTTTTGGTTTTTTTATTTTTATTGCACGTTGTGTGCACGTAGTTTTTATTTATAAATAAGGTTGTATGAGGCCATTGAAAAAAAATGAAGATTTGAATTAAAAAATTTTGCTTAGATAATTGTTGGTGTGAAGTCTTACGAGTGTGAAACCCTAGGGTTGATCCCTCCTTCTCCTCTATCCTCAAACAACAGACCCCCGCTCTCTTCCTCCTCCTCCTCCACAGGCGTCGATCCCCCCTACCCTTCTCCTCCTCCACTACCTCCAACTCTCGCCTGCCTACCTTGTCCCGACGCCCGCTCGACTGCCTTATCCCGACTCTAGTCTGATTGCCTCGTCCTGACGCCGCTCGC